TATTTCGCTGTAAAAGAAAATTAGAGAATTGCAAGTGTCTAACAAAAAGTTAAGTAAAATCGATTATTGTATGATTATAGAAATCTTATTTAAAAAACATTGGGGCTTTAAACTACAATAATGAACAAAAATTATAAAGAAATTTCTTCAGACCGTAATTGTGATCACGTAATAAGTATGGAACAGAGTCTTTAATGGTTAAGCTGGATTTTAAGTGCTAAGATAATTCGATGTGTAAAATGGTCGCTACAATGTAAATGTTTTTTTTTCTCGTACGGAATTCCAGAGATCCGCGTTTGACTCCCGGTCTAGATAATATTTTTCGCAATGAAAAATTAATGGTACTGCGGTAGTTTATTAGTTTGCATTGTAAGAATTGCGTCTGAAAAAATTTCGACGCGCATTTAAGGATCTACATACGTAGTATATAAATTCACACGAAATGATATTAGAAGCATCGAAGATCCAGCTTGATCGTAAATGGTTTATTCTCATCGATATTTAGTTTGAAAAATTAATTATTTAATAGGTTATTTAACATTATTAAGATCGATATAAGATGCGTAAACTGCATCAATAATCGTAAAATTAATAGTCAATTTAACTCGTGATATTACTGCGGTAGTTTATTAGTGTTGCGTTTCAAGTCTGAAAAAAATTCGGCACGCAATTATTTAGAAGCACCCGTGATCCAGCTCAAACCGCTGTAGGCATTGTCTCAATCGTTTGTTTGTTTTTTATTTAAAGCCTTTTTTCAATGTTATTTATCTATACATTATATGTAGCCGTCGTTTCTTTGTGATATTGACTGTTGTATAATATTACATACTGTTCATATTATAATTAATTTCTTATGTACAATATAAATATTATATATTCTTTTTATTTTATTGGTTTAAATTATTTGTGGAATTATGTTGTTTGAATTTATCTTTTATTATTATGATATACTTGTTCCTCTCTCTGGCTGAACGGGTGAGTTTCTTTCTCAATTTTATTACAGTTATAGTTGAAATTGTAATTGTTCGATCATTCTACAGAACATGTAATTATAGTTACAAATACTATAAAGTTTTTTTCTCTTAATGTACTGCAGTGCATATACTCGTTTTTTTTTATATAACACGTGAATCAGATTCGCAATTATCGTTGTAGGGTTGTACTTTTATAAATCGTCGTCCGCGGATTTCAGATTACGTTTGTTCACTTGTGGACAACGAATGATGCAGGTCCTGGAGAATTCGTATATAACATTCTTGCGCTTTTGCGGTTAGCGATGCAATTAGTACCTGTATTTTATGCATTCAACTAGCTTCGAGTCGCCCGGGGACCTCGCGGAATTTCTGATAGCGCGCGTCCAACGTAGCGACGGAATTATAATCACCGACCAACCCGGCATATTAATTGCCCTCGAGCAACATTTCTTTAAAAGCTTCAACCGGAGCCTCGATGCGACTCACGTCGCAATTAAATTTCAATATGTGTAATTATATCCGATATTTCTGCATGGATCTGGTGTGCGTAACGTGTATGAGAATAATTTGCCAAATGTTTCATAATTACAGGGCAGCATCGGAACGTTTAACCCCTTCGCTTTCACTAGTCACTTATCGATGACATAATACCCTTACGTAATGTCGCGTTGAATTATAGAACTCAATTGGTACAAGATTATGGATTATATCATGAATATAGTCTCATAAATATTATAAAATCATGTTAAACACATAAATCGCACCACTCGACAAATATTTATTCAATAGCGACAAATATTTATACAAAATATTAATAAAAAAAGTATTTCAATTGTTTATTTAGATTGATTTTTTATATTTATTGAATTTTGTTGCACCCTTTTAGACAAATATGTATAAAAGTTATTTATTTAAAATTGCAGAAAAAATGTAATCATTACATTATAGCCAAATATTAATTTTTTGTCATTTTGTTCTTCGCAGTTAATTCACGACTAAAATTTGATGTCATTAAAATAAAAAAAAAATACTTAAAAAGCCTGCTATTTTTAATTTCGATAACTTTTAGTTAATATTATATAAATTAAAATGATTATGAATTTTGACTTTCGGTTAAAATAGATTCGACAGCTCTATGAAATTAGATAAGTTGTGATTGGTCTTCTCTTATTCTCAGATTATTGATATTATTGTTTATTAAATAGAAGTTTTCTTACATACTTTAGAACATAGCTCAAGATCAATGTAAAGAAATTATGACTGATTTAAACTGGTAAATTTAATTAATTGTTTTAATTAAATTTATTTATGAATTGACTTTTAAAATTATACGGCTTCTACTATTTTTTATATTCAATACATTACAAAAGTAGTTTTTAATAAAATAAAAATTAATTTTAATAATTTTGTATAGTGTGTAATAATTACTTAATTCACTAATTAATTCATTAATTAATTCATTAATTTATTAATCCATTTATTAATTTATTTGTATTAATAATTTTTAATTTTAATAATTTTGTAATCAAAATGAAAACCGATGAGAACTTTTTGTTCTTTTGCATTTAATCATCAGAACTCTTTTCGAAATTTATCTAAGAAACTCTAAAACTCTTTAGAGAAGAACTAAAACTCAATTTATTAAATCGAAATTTTGACTATGAGATGTCCTCATATTTAACATTTCTCTATTATTGCCTTAATTGATATTCTTATTTAATATTTTTATCTAAATCCTTATTTTTGATATTTTCAATATAAAAGAATTATGTATTCCAGAGAAGTAATCGGATTTTTAGACGAAATCGAAGGCCCTAAAGAAGTGGGAAAGATTCAACATTACAAATTGCTAAAATTTCTATTAAGCAATAATAGTAAACATCATATCCAAGTTGTCGCTTGGAACGATGAAATAGACCGAATCAAACACCATATTCAGCCCTATAGCGTAATAAATCATTTTTTAATTGATTTTTAAATTAATTGTTAATAATTATTAAATAATACTGAAAAAAATGAAATATGTACTTAACCCTTAGTTCCGACCATCCTTTTCGGCACCTTTAATTCCGACTCCAGGGTCGTTCGCGTCCGAGCGTTATTTTGGGACAGTAAAAACGCTTCAAAAAAATACAAAATAAGATCTAAAAAAAAAACATAATAAAAACTTAAATTAATAAATACTTAAATAAAATGTGTACATAATAAAATAAATAAATAAATAAATTATAAAATATAAAATATTATATTAAATAATTTTAATACTTCAATTTATTCTTACATTTATAGATTATACACATAGATGGTGCAAAGCCAAAGAAACCTAAACTTGTGGAATTTAATAATGGCACTCTGCCATACGAACTAATAATAAGACACAATACCATTATAAATAACCTTGGATCATACAATTTAAAAAAAAAGCAAGTATAACCTTTAATAATTGATTTGCCTAGCATTCCTAATTATTTAAATTCATACGTTAGTAAGTAATATACGTGCAATATTTATAAATTTATTCCCTTTAATTTCTCTTTTTCTTGAAATTAATTTTCTGAAAATCAGCCGAAATGTAAGTTTCTATAATTTTATTTTTGTAATTATGTTATAAATCTTTTTACAAAACTAAATATATTATTTTTGAGAACGCATCGTTAACCGCGTAGATATTTTTATTTACTCTCACTTGCCCTTTATAAGTTTTTAAAGTTATATAACCTGATTGGAGATATAAAATATAATTAATTTTCAAAAAAATAATAAAATAATAATAAAAATAATTTATTCCTTTGATATTTTTAAAAATAAATAGAAAAAATAAAAATAAAATTAATGTAATTAAAATAAAATAATAAACAGTTTTAAATATGAAATAATTTTAAGGACAGTTTCTTATTAATAGTATTTTTAACATGTATAACCTAAAAAAAATTTAAATACTAAATATAATTATATATTTCTTTAAAATACTTAGATTAATTAAAATAAGTTATTTTCTAATTACAAAAGGATTTATAAAAACAAATTTCAATACATTATCTAAAACAAAACGGTTATGGATCAATCACAGATGGCACTTATAAATTAGAGATTCAGTTGACAAATTTCGAACAAAAATATGAGTATGAGAAAGGTCAACAGATACAAGTTAAGGGAATAGTAAAAGTAACAAGTTAGTTATGACAACACGCATATGACAACAAGAGTATCGTCATATGCGACGTCACGGTCCCTTTCGAAAACCGTTGGCAGGCTTTCGATGACGCCAGGGCGAGGAAAATTGCCAAGTATGAGACAGGCTCATGATAATGTACAAAAGGAAAGTACACAGCATATGTCAACAGATTATAAGCCCAATACATTATAGTTTATTAAATTCTAATTTTATAATAATAAAAAGCGAAAAAAAAAATTAAATTTTTAAAGCAAATATAAGATTGTGAATTATGCAATAATTCCAACATTTACGTTAAACAGCGTACAATTTTTTGAGAACTGCCTCAAATGCAGTCAAAACATACGAACTTGTAATGTAATAGCGAGTTAACCCTTTCTGTACAATGCTGGGTCACCAGTGACCGAGCGATTCCTGTTCGTGCAAGTTTCTCGCAAGCTCGATAAATCCGGCGCTTGTTATCTCCCCGTAAAAAAAGTTTGTGGTGGGGGTAACCTGTGCGCGGCGGGGCGACCCCGAATCTGTCAATGGCTACATTTACACCACGCATTTAGGCCGCGGCCTATACAATAGATGTCCTTGTTTATTCTGTAGGTTAAACAAAAACACCTATCGTATAGGTCGTGGACTAAGCACACGGTATAAATGTAGCCTATGATTACTGATTAGTATACAGTTCAAGTCGGTGTGAGACTCTAGTGACCCATGTAAGTGCACAAAAGATGCTTTTTGTGAAAAATAAAAATTGTGTCAAAATGATTATATATATTCTATTTTTACTCTAAATCAATGCCTGAATGTTTATTTTCAGTAAAAAAATTTTTTTTCTAAAAGAATATTTTTTAGACAAAATGGATAGAGCTGAAGATGCGATACACGCTATATTACAAGAAAATAAAGTTGATATTTTTGGAGAAGAGATAGACAGCGATGAGGACTTTGTATTATCGGAAACCGAAGTCGAAAGCGAAGAGGATGGACTTAACTATGATAACGACTATGAATGCAGTCCGAAGAAAGCTCGTGTTGAGGAGGAAGTAGATCAACAACCATCTACTAGCGCAGGTCGTCCGAGACAGTATCTTTACGGAAAAGATAACTACAAATGGCTTACGAAAGCTCCTGAATCGAAAGGTAGAAAGTCAATTACTTCACATTTACCTGGATGTAAACAAGAAGCGAGAGAAATGAGAACACCGTTAGAGATTTGGAGTTTGTTGTTTCCCGATGAATTACTAGAGATTATAGTGCAGCACACTAATGAAGAAATAAACCGGAGATTGATCAATTTATCGAATCAGCCTTATTATTGTGAGACAGATTTATCTGAAATAAAAGCGTTTATCGGCCTTTTATATTTCGCTGGATTACAAAAAGATGGACATAAACGTACAATGAATATGTGGAAAGAAAACGGTTGTACTATGTATAGAGCTGTCATGAGTCGCAATCGTTTTATTTTTCTGAGCTTGTGCTTACGCTTCGATGACAAAACAACAAGGAAAGACAGGCAATCTACCGACAGATTGACGGCCATCAGAGAAAGGGACAAGTTCATCGAAAATTGTACAAAATATTATATCCCTTCACAAAATTGTACTATAGATGAGCAGCTTCTTGGCTTTAGAGGAAAATTTTTTGCCAAAGTTTACATCAAAAGTAAACCTGATAAATACGGAATAAAAATTTTATGTTTAAATGATTCTAAAACCTTTTATATGTTGAATGCGATTCCATACACAGGCAAAGTTACAACCAAAAGATTAGAAAACGTACCTTCATATTATGTGCGCCAGCTTTCAAGTTCGATTCACGGAACCAGCAGAAATATTACTTGTGACAATTGGTTCACTTCTATTGAATTAATAAATATGATGAAACATGAGCATTCCTTGACAATGGTTGGTACAATACGGAAAAATAAGCGTCAAATTCCTCTTGTCTTTCGTCGATCTGCTTCTGTTGGTAATGCACGATATGTATATACGAATGATATGACTTTATTATCTTTTACGCCAAAGAAAAACAAAGTTGTATGCCTTGTATCGAGTTTGCATAAAAATAAGGGAAAAACAGATGAAGCAATTAAAAAACCGGAAATAATTTCCTATTACAATAGTACGAAAGGCGGAACAGACACTTTTGATTTTCGTGCAAAAGCTACTCGACGAGTAGAAAAACGATGCGATGGACTATGAGGTTTTTCTTTGGTATGCTTAATCAAGCAATCGTTAACAGCAATATTTTATATAATCTAAATAATATAAATAATGTGATGAAAAGATATAATTTTATAGAAAACTTGACAATTATGCTAGCAAGTCCGTACATGCAAAATAGATTACAATACGCGATCATTCGAAAGTATTTAAAAGTATCTATTTGTGCTATTTTACAAATAGAAGAACCGCAACCAGAAGAAAAAAAACATAAACTTGAAACAAGAAAACGATGTTATTATTGCAAGAGTACTGTCGACAAAAAAACCTGGATATGCTGTTTTATGTGTGGAAAACCGATTTGTGAGAACCACCGTACTTACGTATGTGTAGACTGCAAAATATAAAACTTTTTTTTTATATAGATATCTATAAATATGTATTATAACATTATATATATATTTTTGGTAATTGTTCACTTTAGGGGAGCCACCTCCAACGACCTTGACCTTGACATATGTTGTTAAGGTAATGACCCTGAGTAACCTCCAACAAGTTTTAGTCGTCGCTCGCCCTTCGTTAAAAAATTATGATCAAAAAAAGTTTGAAAAATTACGTTTTATTTCTATTATACAGCGTGACTTCCAAGCGAAGTATTGATGTATTTTTTGATATAATGGCTCGTTTTTACTCACCATATCGCGATCAATTCCTTCCTATCCTCCACAACGAGAGACGTAGATGAGCGAAATCATGATGGAATATAAGAGTCATCCATATGTGACACAAGAAGTTCTGATGATTCCTCAAATCTGTCATTTTATTTTTCTCGGAGGATACAAAGGCCAGATAATATTAACTTCTCTTTGAAAACATAAAGATACTCGCGGTAAAAAAGTAGAGACACAATATCGTGCCATATAAGGCACTGGTGACAGCAGTAGTAGCAAACTTTTGCGTATTATTACGATGCGCATTGAAAAATTTTTTATTTTTCAATGCGCACCCTATTATACAACAAGCATTGTAGAGAAAGTGTCGTGCTAATTGTTTATAGCAGTTTTAGTGACAATTTTCATTAATTCTCTCTGGCAGAGTTCTATGCCTTACAATTATTTTTCAACAAAGTTCCAACCGCTACGTATTTTTTATTAAATGGTGGATTTAAAGATTAAAAAATTGATAAAAAATATCTGAAATTTAGGACGCAACCAGGGCGGAAATTGAGCCAAGACCGTGGCTGGGCTTTCCCGCGTAAAGCGCGATATATGTCGTAGCGTCATAAATTCAAGAGCTTTCGTTCGAATCACGGTAAGCTCTTTCGCTTTCTCTCTCTCCCTCTATCCCTTTCTCCTTCTCGCCGTTTGAAAATCGAGTGAGAGCTGCTCATATCTCGTTACACTCGAATATGACTTTCAGTAATGGATGAAGCTTAAAACCTTTAATAATTTATGTGCAGTTATCGATGACAAAATAAACCAGTTATATATCGATCATAAAAGAGTATTAAAAATTTGTGCTATGATGTATTATTATTTCACGACAAATGTTAAATTTGGATTCTATTTACAAGATTTTATATATTTTTATTAAAAAGTAGTTTTTTACATTAAATAGTAACAAAATAAAAAAATGCATATTTTAATTCGATTTTTCCTATTTGTCCCTTGTTGAGAATTACTCATATTCATGTGGTCAAATAATTCAACTTTTTATAGAATTCAAAGTTCTAGTATTTTTTTTTTCAAAACTTTATATTTAAACTACAAAACCATGGAGTTATTTTTTTATATGCATTTATTATGAAAAGTTATAATTTTTTAAATCAAATTTTTAACATTCTATTAATCGTTTGGTAATTATAAATTATACTACATTTTAATATTTTCCAAAATAAAGTTTTAATATTTATTTTAGAAAGTTGAAAGTATATTAGTGAATTTTTTGAGATTTTTTCAATCATTCTGAATAGGTGAAAAAACGAACGGATTCTAGTGACCCATGTTTGTACGGATGAGGCACCAAATTGTAGTTAGTATCGTAAGGGTTAAATATAATTTACTTATACACCTAAACTCTTTTTGTGAATTATTTAATTTTTTACTTAATTTCTTTAAATTTTTATTTAAAAAGAATGTTGAATGAATGAAGTATAATAGATATGTAATACGTAATAGAATATCTTTCTAAATAGTTATAAAAGTTGAGCGAGGAGCTAGCATTGCTGCGTTGTAAGCGAGAGCAAAGAAGAGTATAGAAGATTACGCCAAAGTTACATTAAGGTTTGTTAGATTACGGAGATAGATTAGAGACCTGTATGAGAAAGCGAGGATATACGGGATATACATAGATATCTCTGCTGCACCAGCGGACCTCGTATGCACTACACGTACTTTGACGTTGTTCATTATCTTTCACAATATTTCGTAATGCAACTCTGGTCTGCAAATTGGTTACGAAACCGAATTATTTCGAAGTTCGCAATCAATTAATGAAATATCGAGTGAAGATCTAATTAAGAGAAGAAAAAATATATATATA